GGGGCAAGTCATTCTCAGTTCGGTGTGCAACCCCCTTCCTCCGGCGGTGGAGGCCCTCGGCCGGGGACGTCCTCGCTCCTTGCGCCTTCTCCCCGGGCCAGTGGGGGTGCCGGCCAGCACGCCCTTTTTGAGCGGTGTATTCGCGAGGGGCGGGCGCCGCGGCGCCCTGGATGGCCCCCATTCCTTCCCCGGGGCCGTCGGCAAATGGGCCGGCGGGACTCCTCCGCCGGGCATGGGGGCACCCCCTGGTCTTTGCGCTAGACCCGAGTCGCCATCGTCCACGTGCGGCGCATGTGTCACGCCGGGAGCGGTGTGCCCGGTCATCGGTTTGCATTATTATTTCGGGCATTTCCCGTGGCGGCGGCGTTTCCGCCGGCTGGGCGGGCCCACGGTCCACAGTGACGCCGGCGGACATCCGCGTGATCTATCCCATGGAGAGATTGCGGTTTCACAAGCCACCCCCGCCCGGGCGGCGGCGGCGGCGGCGGCGGAGGGGCGGGCGGCGAGAGCGGGAGTTGCACCGGGCGGCTGGCGAGGGAGGGGGAGCTCGCGCACGTACACACCCACGCACAACCGGCGCCGGCGGCCGGCGACCATGTGCCCACTCGGAGGCCGTTGCCTTGGCATACGTGGCGGGTGCGTGTATAGGTGGTGGGTGGGTGTGTATGTGCGCGACGTGCGCGGGCGGAAGTGGGCAAGGGCGCGCGTGTCCGGGACGCGCGGCGGGAAAGGGGCCGCGCCCGGGGGTGGCGATTATCTGGGCGGGTTTGGAGCGGGGGCGTGCGAGGGGTTCACCTGAGAGCGCCGGGCCGGGGCCGGGCCCGGGTGGCTCGCGGCTCGTGCGGGCCAGAAAGTGGGGGCCCGACGGAAAATGCCCGCCCTGCTCTCCCTGGGCTGTTTGCCGGTCCACACGCACTCCGAGGCTGCGGGCGGGGGGCGGGGGGCTGGGCTTTTTTGTCTGGCCACCCGCAGGGGGGTGCTTCTGAGCTCCGCCAAGGGCGCCCCTCCCGCCTGGTGGCCCCGGCTCCCCCCCCCCCCCTTTTGGCTGCCGGGCAGGGAGGTCTGGATCGACCGGGAGGCGGCCGGGCCGCCAACCCCTTGGTTCCCCAATCGGGGGGGGGGGGGCGGGGGCTGCGGAAGGCGGGCAGAAGGCGGGCGCGAGCCAGCATCCGAGCCGGGCTTGGTGCCACGGATCTTCCTCCCAACGGCGCCGTTTTCCGCGGTCCTGCTTCTTCGGGCGGGGGTGATTGGGTGCATTTGCCGGTGGCCATCACACACGCGAGCCGGGACGGGCCCGAGGGCGCGTGCGGGCGTCCCCCCCGCCGGCTAGCACAGGGCGGGTGTTTCTGGCGGGCCCATGCCTGACGGCGCCCGTGTGAGGAGGCAGAGCCGGAGAGCAGCCGCGGCTGCCCCCCCCCCGGACAGGCCGATACGCTGGAGGGGGGCAGGAGGGGGCCGCTGTGGCCG